GAAGCAGCCTGAGGCCACCACCCCAATGTTCACAAAGATGACCATCTCATTCACTGAGGTATCTGCACAGGCCAGCTTGAGGATGGGTGGTGCATCACAGAAGTAGTGCTGGATCTGTCTGGGCCCACAGTAGGGCAAACGGAAGGTGAGCACGGTCTGGACAGCAGAGTGCAGGGACCCACTGAGCCAAGTGCCAGCAGCCAGGAGGGCACACGCTCTCCAGCTCATCATGCTGCTGTACCTGAGTGGGTAACTGATGGCCAGATAGCGATCATAGGACATGACTGTGTAGAGGAAACACTCAGTGCTCCCCAGGAAGTGGAAGGAGTAGAGCTGTGCCACACAGCTGTAGAAGGAGATAGCCTTGCCCTCTGGGGTCACCAAGGTCATCAACATTTTGGGTACTGTGACTGTAGAGAACCACATGTCAATAAAGGAGAGGTTGGTGAGGAAGTAGTACATGGGTGTGTGGAGGTGAGAATTCACCCTGATCACATGAAGAATGAGGAGGTTGCCCAGCACAGTGAGAATGTAAACGAGCAGGAAAATTCCAAAGAGTGTGGTGTCCAGGGCTGGTGGGTGGGGAAGGCCGGAGAGGAAGAACGTGGTCACTAGACTCACATGGACATTTCTTCCAGTCTTGAGCATTCTCTCTATAGAGATACAAGGATCACTCCGTTTTAACAAATAATTGTCCTTGTTAGATAATTCTAGACTTGTACTTCTTCTTATAGGGCTTTTTAGTAGATTTAAGCCCCTCTCTCACACACAAGTATAGAAATACAAATAATGACACATACAAATATATATGAAGAAAACCTTTAAGAAAGTCTTCGTATTAGCTTTCTATTGGTGTACTGTGAATTCCCATAATCTTGGAGACCTAAAACATTCAAATGTGTTATTCTCAATTTTTTGTGGGTCAAATCAGCTGAGGCACCCTTCAAGGCTTCATGGGATTTAATCAAGGTACAAACTGATTTTGTAATCTCACCTGGGGCTCAGAGTCCTATCCTAAGCTACTAGGGATAGAATTCAATTTTGTACAGTTTTAGGACTGGGCTCCCTGTGTGCTTAATGGTTCTTGAAGATTCCATCACTCTAGGCTTCCAGTGAACACTGGTGTCAGAGGAGTCCTAGCCATCTGGTGAACACAGCGTGGAGGCTACTTTTTCCATGTCACTAATGTAACCTTCCCATTTCTAAGAGAAAATGTGATGCAATACAAGCCACCCACTGAAAAACCTCTGGTTGCGTTCATAGCCCAGCAAACACTTAGGGAAATGTGATAATTCAGGGAGAGCAAACTATTTTGCAGAAATCTTAAAGTTCATTTAGCATCAATGAGCATCTCAGAAGACTGTGCCATATTTTAATTATTTGCTAGTACATGTGTCATCCCATAATACTAATAGTGCCTCCCTAACTGAGAAGCTACAAGCAGTGCTTGCCTTGCACTCTACTCAGAGAATGACAGTAGACTATACAACAGTGTATCTTGTACTACTGCTGAATTGCCTCTTCTGGATTTTAGAAAGAGAATATGTGAATTCTCTTTATGTTCCCAGACACCTCCCACCTTGACAAATGTTGAGAAAGGCTTTGTTCTTGCTCTTTTCCTGGTAGCCCTATCACTGTCTGCATCTCAAAGAGCCTACCATACCGCCCCTCCAGACAAGATAAATCTTCATATATGTTCAACCTCCTGCTTCTCCACTTATTTTCCATTAAGAACATCAAATTCATCTCTGGCTCTCAATTGTGTTATACTGGGAAAGAGACAGGTTTCCTCTTACATAATTCCATCCTAGGATTCTGATGACTTTCTAATATTGACTTTGTTATAAATCATATTTTTCCCCGATCTCTCATCTCCTAACAAACAGAGCAGTGCTCTTTCATGAAAAAATGATTCTCTCAAGTCATGTTATTTATGTAACACCTACGACCTAAAATAAGAAAGAGAGCCAATGCAAGCAGAGGGGACCTATATCACCAAGCTATGGACATAACAAATACAATTAAGGCCAAAATCATGATTTTTACTTAATATACAATATTGTCTGGAACTAATGACTGTTATTATGTTGTAACTTAACTTATGAAACCATCTTTCACTAAGAAAGATAAAAGGATCTGCTCATGTCAGAGCCCAGAAAAAATGTATCTTATCTCCAAGGAATGTGGTTTCAGCTACATTAAAACTTTTTCCAAATATGAGAAAAATTGTATAGAGTAAATTATTGCAACCACTAGTGTGAATGTGAGTACTCCTTTAATAGAGGAAATATCATTATGAATTTCTACTGCAACAACAGGAACCAGTCACAGAAAGAACATACTTACATATTTTTAAATGCTGGAAAAGAAAATAACCATCAGGGGAAGTCCAGGGAGTCTGAGACTTTATCAGGAGTCCCAGTCAAGGAGGTCAAGGTTTAACTCACATAGTTGCTATGAAAATATTTATATTACTCCTAATGATTCAATCACTTATCTATGATCAGTCTATCCATGTAACCACCCATCCATCTTCCTATATGCCTATCTATCTAGTGAGAGAGCTTAGACAGCTAAAATTAATATGAAATCTAACAATTTACAAGGAACATTGCTGTACATGAATGTTTAAGGTGAAAGAAAGAAAGAATTGAAGGGAAAAGAAGTTGAATCTATGTAAGAACTACAGGGTGTGATTCATTTCGGTAGTAAAATGTACCTGAGTTGTTTTCACCAGTGTGTCCCTTCTACATGCTATTGCCAAACACTAGTTTTCCAGTTATACCATAAAGAAGAGTCAAACTGAGATGAGAAAAAGTTGTCCTTTTCTAATCAAGAACCAAACTAATTGTAGTTCAAGACTAGAAACTAGCACAGCCTAATTGGCTGGAGCTAACTTGGTTTAGTGCCTCAAGGGATGTGATTGCCCTTGGGTTTCCATGTTCCCTCGATGATCACAAAAACAGCAAGACAACAAGGAAAAGCCTTTCATAAACTGTTGCTCTTCAGGTTTCTTATATGAACTATCATCAGATAGCTCACGTATTACTGCAACCAATATTTATGCCTAAGATGAGAGTTGGTGCTTAGTTCCCCCTTTTATCTCACCAGTTTTGAGGTTAAGACTGCCTGTTCTTTACTTAGAACTGTCCACAGTCCATGTGGACATCAGTTGTCTGTACTCTGCACCTGTATATCCCTGTTGCTTTTATTGTCTTCCGTAGTCACTCAAACTTCCACATTCCCAAAGTTTATGGAATAGTTTTTAAGGTCCTAGGAAATTCTATCCATTAATTCCAATGTAGGTACTAATACTGATACATGAGACTTAAAAATTTTCAGATGTTATAGTTTAATGTTTTATTTCCCCTCTCACTGAGACTTTTACCATACCTAAAGTGAGTACATTTTCTATATAATTTAAATTTATAGCTCTAATTTCTTCACTAATTATAAGGACTTTTGAGCTGATATATATATATATATAGTGTGTGTATATATATGTGTTCTTGTTTGTATTTAATTATTATGTTCTGGATTTATTACATTCCAATTGATGGAAATGAACTCCAAAATTTGCATTTTAAGGTATAATAAATTTAGCCTAATCAATCATTTTTGTGTGTGTGTGTATTAATGTTTAAAACTTTACTGAGAATTTCACACATACAAGGTGTTTTGATGAAATCCACACCAACTCCCTCCCTTCCAGCTCCTCGTTTCACTTATTTTATGTGTATGAATTTTTTTTTACAATGAAAAAAAATTTTTTTTAATTAAAAGAAGCATTTCATTACAACAGTATTAAACTATTCAATAACATTTTTCTGAGCTAGAGTAAATCTCTTTCAAAATTGGCTGTACATTTCTAGGTTTACAGATGAATTATTACGCTTATATAATCTTTTACTCATTATAAACTCTATAAGACATAAAATTAAATGAGCTTTTAACGTTTAAAAAAGATCTCCACTTCGTTGTTAAAATACACAGTTTCATGCAGAAAAATTCATTTTAAGGCAATTGACATTGAGACGTTTTCACATG